CAGACAAGCAACAACAGACTTTTAAAATAATAATAATATAGAAGGGACTGTTGGATTGAGAAAGATGGAGTAGCACAGGAGAGCAAACAGGTAGGCCACTTACAAACTGAAAGCTATATGAATAGGATTGAATGAGATAGGGTACCACTGTAAACAAAATGTAAAAACCCTGTGGTCAAAATTAAGGGGTAGGAAGGAGAGGGAAGTGAGACTGCCTAAGTAACCATTCTAATGGAAGACTAATGGTAACTAAGACAAAGGCAAGAGACAACAGATATTTCTATGCATCAGTATGGAAGAAGGGACAAAGGTGGATTGGGAAGGATGAAAAAGAATTGAGGAAAAGGAAAGAGGTAGCAAGGCTGGGTTAAGGACGATTCAGAACTCTTTGTAACTTTCAGAAAACTAGCCAAAGAGTGAGGAAAAGGGCACTGGGGAAAATGATGATATAGATTTCACATCCTGCTCCACAAGCCATGTGATTGAAGAGTGTTGGGTGAGATTCTAGTCTTAGGTTGGAAACTAGAGTTGTCAGTGAACAAATTCTGGCTTGGCTCACCCCTCTACCCATTTCCCCACTCTGGTGTTTCTTTATATGGTGGCATTTCATGAATGATGACGCTATATTTTAATATTTTAATGTTTCAATATTTTAATGTTGTATTTTAATTTTGTTTTTAAGTTGTTTTCATTCAACTTTTTTTATTATTGCTTGTTACCCGCCCTGAGCCCTGCCTTGGCTGGGGAGGGTGGGGTATGAAGAAGAAGAAGAAGAAGAAGAAGAAGAAGAAGAAGAAGAAGAAGACATATTTTCCCCTAACATTTTGGAGACAGGCTCCCTGGTTTTGACCACAAGGTTTTTGAAACTCCAAAGGGCTCCAGGCAGCTCTAAAGGGCTTACGGCTGAGGGGGACTTATGTTAGAGGAGTTCCATTTTGACCTCACCTTGGGATTCAGGTCAAGTGGTTGCACAGCCCCTATTTTCACACACCTTGCACAATTGATCAGCTAAAAACACATACAAAGCTTGAGCTTTCCAAATTAGGAGGACAATTAAACCTATTTAATTTCCTGCAAAACAAATTTTGATACGACCCCTAAAATAAAAATCATGGCGCTTGCCTGGATCCAAAGTTATGTTCAGGTATTCCAGTCTGGCTTCTGTTCTGAACATTAGCCTCATGATTAGGCTGAAACGGGCATTTTCACCAGAGTCTGGTTGTCTACAATTATTTTCTGAGAGGTTTTTGTTCTATTTTTGCAACCACAGCAGAGGAGCTATTTTTCATTTTTGAAAAAAGCTATTATCCAGCTTTCCGTCATAAGCTACTCACTCAGTACCTGCATGATTATGAGATATTTTCATCCTATTTCTTTGGTAGTCTTGGTTAAATTTTCAGAGCCAGCTGTTCATTCCACCAAGACTTGAAAGATTTGGATTAGCCCTCTGTTTGGACAGTCTGGATAAATATAAACTGTTGAATCTCATCTAGATGGGAACTATTTGCATTTGCCACCGTTATATTTGTGAACTTTCTATGACTCTGAGTTCTTGTGAATAAGGAACTGTGAATTTGTATTTCAGTTGACGTTGTCTGGTTTATATAGGCAGCTTTGGAAGTCTGAAATTCTCAGTAGATGTTTACTGTAGCATGTGTTGCTTACTGTCCTGTACTTTATGGAGATAATAGAAGAACAGCCCTGATTAATCAGACCAATGCACTATAAAATCCATCATCCTGTTTCTCACAGTGGCCAACCAGCTACTTCTGGGTAGCTCATAAGTGGTTCTTAAGCACAATAGCCCTCTCCTGCTGTTTGTCCCCTAGCAGGTAGTATGCCTCTGAGGCTGGACATAATACAACCATTTCTTTCTTAGTGATCCCCTAACATTTAATTTGCTTTTTTTCACAGCTGCTAAGGTGGGGATTGATGTTTTAATTTAATCATAGCTTCAAAGCTCCTTTTCCTGACCAGTTACAGTCAGCTCAGACCTCATCAATGTATGTAGCATTAGGATATTTTGCCCTTATATGTATCATTTTTCACATTTATATTAAACCACATTTGCCATTTTAATACACACTCATCCACCTTGGGGAAATCCTTTTGAAGGTGTTCACAATCTCCTTTTTGCTACCCTGAATAATTTGGTATCAGAAAACTTGGTTATTCCTGACTCTGGATCATATATGAACAAGTTACAAAGCACAAGTGTCAAAACATCTCACTGCAGGGGTAGCGAGTGATCCTTATATACCTCGCGTGATAAATATTCCTGCCCTCTGCTGACTATTTGTTAACCAGGTACCAATCCATAAGAGGAATTCATTTCTTCTCTCAGGACCACTAAGTTTTCTCAGAAGCTATTGGTGAGGAAATCTGTCAAAATCTTTTGGAAAGTCCATGTAAAAAAATGTCTCCAAGATCACCCCTCTCCACAGGCTTGTTGACATTCTGAAAGAACTTCAAAAGGTTAACGAAACAGAACTTCCTTTGCATAAATCATGCTGATTTTTTTCAGCAAGATTTAGCCTTTTACAGGCATCTGGACTTGGTGATTTGTTAATTTTTAATTGGACAATGAGGCCCAATTCTTCTGTTTTGTATCTTCCACA